TGGTAGTTATAAACTCAGAATTGTGTCGGATGTTCAACATGGGTTATAAACTTATTGAAAAAGAAAAAAAAAGGAGACATATTATTATAAAATTAAACGATAATTTTCGTGCTTACTTTCACTCATAACTTTTAAAGACTAATTATTATTTTTTAAATAACAATAATATTTTATTTATAAGACATCCAAAAAGACTACTTAAAAAATAACCTTTTCATAGAATCAAAATAAACAAGAAAAACGTATCAATACAAGACCAAAAGGTTGACAAAATAGGAACAAGGAGCTAACAGGAACAGGAGCAAATAAAAACAAGAAAAAATCTAGATTTGTACTGCCAAGGAGTGTCCTCATACAGGCAGTTAGAAAAAAATTTATACTTAAACATTAAGCACAAGGTAAAAATATTATATTATAACTATATTATAACGAAAAAATTTAACAGTTATAAGCTGATGAGCTATACAAATATTTGTTATTAAAATTTATAATAATCGAAGATTCTTGAATAACACGAAATAGAAATTTTTACATAATTTTAAACTAAATAATTTTAAATGACGGAATCTGAAATTCGAACGAAATCGGATAAATATTTTTTAAATATAAAGGATNAGTGGCGTAGCGAGCTTAACTCGCGCCCGGGGCACAATATCCTTTTAGCGCCCCCCCCCCTTCCATTCGAAAACCATATAATATTATATGTAAAATATACTCGCAAATTNGGATAAATATTTTTTAACTAGTAAATTTTAAAAAGAAGTCAGATTTTGAAATCTTTATTTCTTTTAAAAGTAATTTTCGATCGATATGCATGATAACGCTTAGCAAGGAAAATTTTTTTTTTCACTGGTTTAAAAATTTTTAAGGTATTTTTTATAAGCTTGTAGACTAAAACCGCATTCAGTTTTTTATACATTGCATTGCAGTCCATGCAACTGATTTATACCTTTGCGTATATTTAAATGAGATAAAGAAGCAAACAATAGTTTAATTTTAAAAAAAATATATACATGACATTTTTTTAAAAAATAAACTAATTTGTTTTAGACATGTGACGTAGAATGGGTATTTATTATCATGAAATAGGTATCTATTAGGAAATATCAAAAGAGATAAAACAGAGATTAAAGATGTAAAGACATCCGATTTTATCAACATTTGTTCTCAAGCCTCACAAAGATAAAAAAAAGAATGTTGTTGAGCTGAGGATTTCTTAATTGGAATGGGTTATCATCAATAAAATTGTTGTAATACCGCGCTCTTGTAAGTTTTGCAATATTTAAAGAGAATCAAAACGATTTTGAAAAAAAAAAACGAATACATTAAAGGTAAAAAAGAAAAAAGTAAATCCCTTCTATTTCATAACTAATCAAAGATAACAAATCGAACGACCCTATTTTTTTACAAAACTATGAGCTTTCCTCATCTATTTCACAATTGTTTCGCATTCATCATTGTTTATCATTAAATCCTGATATTTACCATGGAAAATAAATTACTTTTGTTCAATTTAGTAAAATTTTTAAGCAACAAAGTTCTGCGTGTAAAATAGATTTATCAAACTAAGAACATTTCGCTAATAATAATTTTTTTAAAATATATATTATCTAATTACAACTTTTATTTAATGCAGTTCATACGTCGTACGCCTCATCTTTTATGTAATTCTGAATAAATTTATAGATGAACTCATTTTCGTTGTCAACGTTCTCTCCGTCATATGGAGTAATAATAAATAAAAAAATTTCACTTTTTCCGATGGTCAGGACTCAAACCAATGATTTAACTACAAAGGAAAGTTTTTGTCAGCAGTGTGATTTTATGGAAACTAAAATTTAATTTCTGGTAACAAACAAAATCTGTCATAACTGAAAAAAAAAATGAATAGTACTGATAATCGATATTCTACATTGATGCCAACTTGTTTAAAACAAAAATAGGAATACAAAGCATAAGCCAATCAGAGGTAATTATGACACAAAGTGAAAAACAAAATATCGATACCAAAATATCACTTTATAAATCATATACGTTTCATATTTAATATAATTTTTTGAGTTAACAGTTTTAATTAAATTACTTACTATTGATGAATATATCTTTATAGTAACTAATTCAAGAAAAAACTTACAAAAATCGCGTGAATATGAATTGTAATACTGGATTTTAAAATCGCGCCAATATGAATTGCGATGTTTCATCTTCAAAAAGGGTGAATATGGTCTTGATATGTGCGGAATTCTGAGGTATTCCCGGAAAAAATGACCTGCCCTGAGTTGAAAGAAAATTGACTTGAACGAAAAGGCTCTAGAATACCGAAAAATCGGATTATTTTGATCTAAAATCGTATTTATGGAACAAGGCTAAAAAATCGGAACAAATATGATTTAATCAGAACAGTTGGCAGCCATCTCTCAAGAAGAGGGCATAATTTTAGTACAAACTTTATTTACCTTAATTTTTTTTTTTTAAGTATAAGTAATGTCTTCCATTCCGCAAATAGACCTACTAATACTCTCAACACATCTGAGTTAATAGATATATTTTTTCTCTGTTGGTTTTGGAATCATAATAAATTTTTTAAAAGTGTTAACGCATTGATCGACTGATCTGTAAAAGCAATTATACGGTGAAACCTCTCGGGAGCGACCACATTGTTCCACAGTAAAATGGTCATCAAAGGTGGTTGGTGATTCTTTCTTAGAGGTTACTTCGATTAACTTCGAAAAGTTATTGAAGGTATATGATTTTTCACAAACGATTTTAATTTCAATCAGTGTCATTTTCTTTGTGCGGAAATGCCACTTGTGTTGGCATGGAAACTAATAAAATTTAGCCTCAACAAAAATTATCCCTACTGATGCGATTATGAGGTAAAAACAAATTGACCAATTATGAATGAGAGAACTATTTTAAATAAAGAAACAATTATGTTTTTTTGTTTAAATTTGCATTTAATTTTATATCATAAGAAGAGAAGAGGTTTGCTTGCTTTTTTCTAAAATAACTTTTTTTTTTTAAAATTTAACTTTCAACACTGAAAATAAATCATTGATAATACACTCTGACTGCAACATGTGTAGATATATTTCAAAGATCTCCAAAAAGAGCTTTGTAAATAACAGCCTCATGCAAATATTTTAAATGCATTTTTTAATGTCCTTATTTGTTTTGAAATTTTTCCACAGTTTTTGTGGTCCCTGCTAAAGGTTTTCTTCAACACAAATTCTATGGAAAAAATTCCATGCCTCCCGAAATTGGTCCTAAATAAAGGAAGTCACTACATAGAGGTTGTCTTTCCTGGAGGTTTCACTGTATTTACAAAAAGAAATCATTCTTTCTGTAAAATGAGTTTTTTTTACCATTTATTTTGAATATTAAATTCTTTTCTCTACTATTTTCGTTTGGGAATGTAATTTATATAGTAATTACTATCCAAATGATTTTTGTATAGTTAAAAGTTGAAAAATTACAAGTGTAAACAGCTATGAACGGATGTATCATCATATTTTACTGATTTGGTGACTAACTTGGCATGTATAAAGATTAAATATCTATTTTTGGACTTATTTACATGCAATTTTTGGCAATAATGGTTGGAGAATGTAAAATTAAAATTTATATTACGCAAAATAATTTTCAAAAATGATGCCATAATATTTACAATTATTTTAGCAATGGTGGTTCAAAGAATATAATAGTTGCATTCTGATGAAACTCATACTTTTCAGTAAAAATGAAGTCTATTAGTCAGATTAATATCATTAATTTAATCGATTTTAACCTTTGGTACAGTAAATGAATCAGTATTTAGTTTTACAATTTGACCTTACTATATAACAAAAATATTTTAGAGAAAAAATATTCCGCTAAGGAAACATTAAAGTGCTAGATTTAATGCAATACAAACTCCTACTTAATTTTTCTGCTAAGCCAAACAATTTTAAAATTTGCTCATCATTTTTAACTTTCCCCTCATCCTAATCATTTTTAACTTCAAGCTGGTTCCCACCTTGGTACCTATATTTATTCAGATTAAGAAATTTTAAAGAAGATTTTTAACGAAATGGTTCATTAAATGCACATTTGATCACATACACAAAAGGCTGTTGACGGGGGATGAGTTTTCTGAAGAAAAAAAAAACAGAAAAAGCTGAAAATAAAAATCCAAAAATGTTATCTGCAAAACACATTTTAATTAATTGAGAAAGTACCAGAAATTTGAGCAAGAGAAAAGTGCATGTTAAAGGATATACAGAGTCATCACTCAAAAAATTCCCTGCGTTTTCCCGGCACATGTTATATATACATAATCACAGAGCTCTTGTGAGCTATTTTAGGATAACGATGCTAGTTTTAGTTGATGGAAAAACAAATATCTAGATAGATTAAGCTTTGAGAGGTCTAAATTTTTTATAAGACAAAAATAAGAAATAAATTTTCCAATTTGTAAAGAAAAATTTAAAATTCCCTGTAATTTTACTTGTTATAGATGATTTTTAAATTCCCTGTCTTTTCCAGGTTTTCCCTATGAAGTGGTAACCTTGATATACCCATGGAATATTATATACGTTTTAATAAAAAGTGCGATTTCTCTTGTGCAATTCTTTTTAAAAAAAAATCGAATGAATGCAAATCTAATCAGATTAATATATATTGTGATGTGTAATTTTAAATTGTGCGAAAATGAATTTTAATGTGTCATTATAAAATAGCGTGAATACAAATTCTTCAATAAGATTTTTAAAACCTTGGAATATGAATCGTAATGTGTAATTTTGAATCACATAAATAGGGAACGTTATGTGTGATTTTAAATTGTAAGAATGCAATTTTCAATCCCATATTCATAGGTGAAAAAAATCGTAAATTGCTTTTTTTTTTTTTTTGATAATTAGAAAAAAAAAGAAAAGAAAGGAATTTTTCTTTTTATTAAATTGAAGAAAAAAAGAAATGGGCTGTTGACATAGGCCACAAAAACAAAAGGTACCCCACAATTTATAATAAAATGTTTATTCAACAGAGAAATGTGCATTTTTCTTTTTTAGAATTTCAACAATATATCAGACAATTAGCAACATTGAGCACAATTAAAACAATCATAACTTATGAAAAAAAAAGCAAAAGAGGAACATAGTCATGAACAGATAAAAATAACATTGAGCAACGAATAAAATACACCAATTTGGCTAGGCTATAATGATCACAGGGCCTTTAGTTGCGATGCAGCTGCTTCCAATACTCTTTCACTTGTACCTATAAGATATTCAATGCAAGATCTTTTAAAATAACTATAATTGAAAATATTTTTTATAAATATAGTGAGATAATCTTAGTGAGCAAACTAAACTGTTGAAATGCATATGCTTAAATATCCATCATACTCAAAAACGTCATAAGGCACACGTTACTAAAATTTGTTATCTTACATTATATACACAATTTAGCTCAAAATAAGATAGCTTTATAGTCTTCTTATGTGCAGATCTGAGAGAATCCCTCACCTTTAACCATTCTCTTTTAATTTAATTTATATAAATTGAAAAGTTCATCACAATTGAAGATAAGTAAATGAAACTCCTCATATATATTTAGGTTGCTAAAGATCTATGTAAACCATTCACAAAGATAAAAACACTTTAAAAAGAAAATGGGCAACGTGCGAAAGAGGCAAGATTTGCACGCAAGAGGAAACATTTAACATTGCACAACTGTGATTAAGTTCCTAAATGTAGTCAAATGAGGAGGCAATATGGTTAATTATTTCATTCACACACATAAAAAAGAAACATGAATGAAAATAAGAAAAGAGAAGAAAAAATTTAAATGCTTACAATCTTTTGCAAAAAATGCTTGTCACTATTGATGGTATTGAATATTATACTCTTATAAGTTTTCAAACTAAGTATTGTGTGCTATATGTTTCTTTATAAGCTTTGAAACAGAGTGTTGTGTTTCAACTTTTATAAATTTTTAAACAAAGTATCCTGTTTCAATGTTTATAGGTTGATAAGCAGAATATTGTGCTTTAATTTGTTGTATACAATTATTTACTTTATATAAAATCACATTTTATAATTTATATTAAAGTTCAGACAATAGATATTTCTTTTTATTAAACTCTTTAATTTCATTAGAAAATAATAATTCTAGTTTTATTTGCAAACTTTTTCTAAGCTTTTGTGTCTCTTTTAATGTAAAGCTTCACTCACTTTTTCTTAGATGCTTTTTTCTTGAAACTGTTAACTTATCCCAAAAAGAAATTTTTCCTTAAAAAGACTAATCCCAAAAACATGAATATTTAAATATACGTATGCAATATATAAAAATAATTGGGTTTTCTAAATAAATGAATAAATAAATATAATAATTGTCAAATAAAAATACAATTATTTTTTCTTTTTTTTTTTTGGTTTCATATCTTTTTTTCCATAGTGGTTATATTGAAATGTATTAGAAGAAATGCTCATGATTTTTTAATAAAATAAAAATACATAACTATATAAAACATTAAAATTTTAGTACTACCATGATAAAAACCCGAACATAAATCTTATTTTAAATGCTTTTTTTTGTAAAGTTTTCAAATTGGTCTAAAAATATACAAGCTTTTATGGCTATAGGAAGCTCTAAATCTAACATAGGGATAAGTTTTTTGAAATCTATAACAACCCTAATTATTTGATACAGGTGAAGAAATTTGTTTTCCTAATTTTCAGTTCTTGGCTTTCTATGTTATAGGAGCAAAGTAATAGATATTGTTTTTATTTTAAAAACCTTTTTTCAGACACAATCATATAGATTAAATTTTATTCCGCATAGCATTAAATTCAAATACAGTCAAACCCCGCTATAGTGAACCTTCAAGGGACCGAAATTTTGGTTCACTATATCCGTTACGCAGGCAATTTCACTAATGGTTCCCAAACTCCTCCCTTTTATTACATTATATTCATATAAATGACTGAAAAATATTATGTAGTAGCAAAAAATGTGTTATTTTTCATCACTCATCGTCTTGCGTACAAATAAAAATTAGTAATCTTTAGCTGATGAGCAATCCTCAACATCAGATATGGAAATACTTCCCGACTCTCAGATAATTTTTCCTGAATTTCTGTGATTCCGCTTTTTGAACCTGTCTAACCTGCCATTCGAGCACATAGAAGCAGTTTCTATAGATGGTTTTAAAAATCGGTATATGTATTTATTTTGAAGTACAAATTTCAAAATTATTACAAAGGAAATGGGGAGGGAAATCAGTCGAAGACAGAAAAAAGTTCATTATATCCAACTTCCTCACTTTTTTGGTTCACTATATCCACTAAAAATAACATTATACGTGTATAGCAAGGCACGGGACTGAGCATTTCGTTCACTATAAGCCGTGTTCACTATAGCGGGGTTTGACTGTAGTAATAAGTGTATATAACGCACACATCAAATAACATATAAATGCACCAGTTAAGAAAGATTTCAAACAATCTAATGCAAATATCAAATAAAAATAAATATTTACGAACCTGTTTCAGCTGAAACTTGTTCAAACTCTTTCATGGATGCAGTGGAATGACTCTCAAGGAAATGAATTTCTGCTGGACTTAAATCATCACTCAACTTCTTCAAAGCAAAAAGTATCTCCAACTTCTGCTGATTTAATAGATCCTGTGAAAGTTTTCCAATTTTGGTATCTCGTTCTAACTGTAAAACAAAAGTTTTTGTTTTGTTTTTTATTGTTTATGATTTCAGAATTGTTAATGTAATAACTATCCTTATGAAAAGTTACCAGTTTTATTCATGCATCTGAAAAAAGGAACAACCAAATGGGGTTTATGAAGTAAGTAAATTTTAGAAATCTTGAAATTTTTAGCAAGTTATTCTGAATAAAATTTTTGCATGTGTTTATTATTGTAAATGATTAAACATACTTAAATAATATGGCATACAGCATTTCTTACACAATGATAGCAGATGTGAACAAATTATTTTACAAGTTAACAGTATTTTGCATTCACCAGCATTTTCACATAATAGCATGTTGGAAAATTATTACAGTTTTAATGAATAGTTATAATTTCTGTTGTGTCAAGCATAAATTAGCATTATCTGAAAAATTGGCCAGACCTACATACTCAGTAATAAGAATTGATAACTACATTTGGGTACATGGGACTGAAATTGATATGCCAAACTTGGGTATTAAAAGTTTAGCAAGGTTCTGGGTAATGGCCAGGTATTCAATGCATCCATACATCAGATGCAGATTATTAAAATATTTTAAGAGCAGATATAAAAATATCATTTAAAAAAAAAAAGAAAATAACTGTTTTTTAAATTAGAAATACTAAATAATTCAAGTCCTATCTACCTGAGATAACTTTTCCCTGAGTTGTCCAGGTTGCTTTTTGGCAAACATTCTTATAACTTCTGGAGTTTGGAATGCATTGCTTATGGCAGCTTGGATAGCCTGAAAAAGCAGATTTTAAAACAAAACTTAATTTTTAAATTTATTGCAGCATTAATAAGATATTAACATTCATTTATAAAAGAGAATTTTAAGGACAACTATACATAAACTTTTTAAAAATATTTAGAATACTATACTTAAGAATATTAGGTATAATTTACATCATTGTATTAGTATAATGTTAAGAACAGAAACTTAAAATATATGCAACCAACATATAGACAAAGTTGATTTTTTGGAGAGAAAAAAAAAACAATATAAAAGAAAAAAAATTAAGAACCGTATAATTTTTTTTCTTCTTCTTTTGAACTGAAAAAAAAGGGCATTATACAATATCACAGAGATGAATATGAAATGAATGAACTAAGTGTTTTAGCAACAGTTTTAAGTGAAAACACTTTGCCAGTTTCAATGAGATAATTTTAATGATAAATACCTAAAAGCTAGTCATAGTAAGGCAGAAACACATTACATCACCAGCTCATGGTCAAGCACATAATCTTGCTCTTCAGGGTTTAATGTTAATAGACATATTAACATAAAACCCTGAATAATTTTCCCTTTATAATTTTGAATAGCACATTTGAGCCATCACTTTTTAATAAACTCAATTAATTTGCACAGATTTCATTTTAAATACATGTTGTTCCTCGATTGCTTTTTTAACGGTTACTGCTTTGAAAAATCCAATATTTTCAATAAAATATTATGATGTGCGAATTCCGAATTTGAGTAATCACTTTTCAGTCTGCTTTATTTTTTTGCCAAATTCACCATAAATTTAAGTAATGTTTAAATTATTATTTTTTTTTTACATTTCTAACTAAAGATTTCCACATGGTTCTTAAAATCGTGATTCCTTTGTTATGACATTACAACTTGTCAGTATAAATTGTACATTTAATTTATCACTTTCTGACACAGGCTCTATTTGTGCTGATTTCATCATAAATCTAATTTTCAAAAATTTTTTAAAGCAATTATTGATAAGCATGGTTTTAAAACTTTTGATTTTAATTATGACATGCAAATTTTAATACACCCATTTTAAAAATTACTTATTGATATGTTTTATTCATGCTGATTTCATTATAAATTTAAGCTATTCTTTTGTAATTATTGTGATGCTTTTCCACATGCTTTTGACAACTCTGTTACCTTAACTACTATGCTTCTAATAAAGTATTTAAATAATCACTTTTTGATACTATTTATTTGTGAATATTTCATCATAAATGTAAATTATTTTGGTAGCTAACGCCATACATTAGTACGAGGTATTTAAAATCCTGATGTTTTAATACATTAATTCAACCTGTAAAATTTGAAAGCTGAGTGAAAACACATGTTTTTAAACTGCTCACTGTTTGTAATTTATATTGTTTTAAATTCTTCGTAGCTTGGATGATATTTTTAGGAAAAAATGAAAAAGAAAATGCTTCCTATTTAAAATTAATAAACTTCTAATAATTCAAGAAATAGGAATAATATCTGAAATATAATACCAAATAAATATTGAATCTTATTTTGAATTATAATGGTTTTGTTTTAATTTTTGGTTCTTGTTTAAACTGTATTTTCTTTAATCAAAATTAATAATTCTAATTCATATTACTCGTTAAAATATGTATGTATTTTTTTACCCTCAGTTTTTTGCAGTCATAGAGCATTTTTTTTTTTGGTTAGAATTTATTCCCCCCCCAAATATATATACATTTTATAAATCATTTATTAATAAAAAGGAAAAAAAATAAGGAAAGAATATAAAAATAAGGAAAGGAAAAAATATAAAGGAAAAAAAAGGTTAAAATATGTATGTATTTTTTTACCCTCAGTTTTTTGCAGTCATAGAGCATCTTTTTTTTTTTGGTTAGAATTTATTCTCCCCCCCCCCAATATATACACATTTTATAAATCATTTATCAATAAAAAGGGAAAAAAAAATAAATTAAGAAAAGTATCCGTTTCTTCATTTTTGAATGAAATTGAACTTTGTGCTTAGAACACTAACCTTACTATAAAAATTATTATATTTGCTGCTAACATGACTAAATATGTGTGGTCAGTAGTCAACCTGCTATGCAAGTGGTCCTTCACTCAAAAATGTAATTTACCCTTAGCTTATAGCACATAATTTTTATACTCTTCAAATCATATAAGCTTATGCAACTTTTAATGATGGCTTTAAAATTTAATTAAAAACAACAATAACACTTACCAATTGCATACTTCCAAGTTCATCAACAAGTGAAATATTTCCTGTCATTAAATTAGATAAAGTAGAATTAAATTCCTTTAGCTGCTCAACAGTTTCTGATTTGGTCTCCTCATATTCATCTTCATCTAAATCATTTCTAAATAAAATAATACAAAATGTGATTAGTAACTCTTTATCACAAAGAGAATACTAAAGATAAAGAATTAGTGACACACAATTCAAGTACTTTAAACAATTTTTTCATCTCCAACTTATTGTCCAATATAAAACTATTGCAGTTGCTCTCAACAAGTTTGAATGTGACATATTCAGTTTTGCATCTCAAAGATATACAGTCCTTTTGATATGTGGCTGAATAATTGTAAACAAAAATAAAATATTATTGGTTATGCAAGAATTATAAAAATGATTAAAAATGAGTAATTCAGTTAAAATTTAAAATGCACTACAGTAATAATAGTGGGCTACATAGTTATTTTGCATTTAAACTTAATCTGCCACTTATGAAAATGACTTAAATTGTAGTATAAGAACACTCAATATATCGAGGTGAGACCCTTTGTAGTTGAATATAACAGGAAAGGGCAAATATAAATTTTATACTAAATATGTCACATTCAGCAAGTTTGAATGTGGCAAATTCAGTGTTGCATCTCAAATTCCTTTTGATATGCGGCTGAATTGATTGTAAATAATTTTAATAATTATTTAATTGTAAAGAAATTGTAAATTGTAAAGAAAAATATAATATTGCTTATGCAAGAGTTATAAAAACAATTGAATATGCAGAGCTCATTCTAGGCAGGGTAAACAGGGCGCAGCACCCTGCTGCCCTTTTAGTCAAAAGAATCCACCCTATTGCCCCTGAAGTAAATTAGTGCCCTGATGTAATAGACTCCATACCCTTTTTGCCCTTTCTTTCCTCAACCCTTCTTTATTTTCCCCCTAAACTCTACAATGGATTTCTTAAACTTTTGCTATTTTCAACTCTTTTTATTTAGTTTGTCATTGCTGTCAATACCTAGATTTATATGGGAAAGGAAAAATAGCCATCACACCCCCTTGTTGCACTTGTCTTTGAAAGTTTGCAGTTACTTCCACTATCATTATATCATAATTATTATTAATAATTTTAATTATTAAATCATAACTACAGACATTTAAAAACATACATTTATTATTTTATTTATATATGCATGCATTTTAAATAAATTACTAAGCTAATTAGCTCATTAACTCAATATATATGTTAATTTATAATCAAAATTATAAATTAATATGATTGCTTTGCTACTTTTAGTAAAGTAAAAAAAAAAAATTCTTTTACTAATTGACAATGTTTTTTAATAGAATGTGTAAAGCCCATCGAAAGAAATTATTGCCTTTTTAGAATAATAATGCCCTTTTTTTAAACTTTTGCACCCTGCCCTTTTTTTCTGCCTAGAATGAGCTCTGGAATATGAGTAATTCAGTCAAAATTTACAATGCACTACAGTAATAATAGTGTTGAATGAATTACTATAAGAAAACCATCAAAATAAATAAATAAATTACGTTTCATATTTAATCTATAGGAATCCAATGTATATAAAATGCATCAAAATTTTCAATAAAATTAATTTATGGTTTGGTTTTAGAGCTTTCTTTAGAAAAAACTTGCTTTTATACCCATTTTACCTTGTTTTACATAGAGCAATTAGTTGTAGTTCTAACCAAAAAGTGGAAAATGTACAGTGAAATTAATCAAGTTGATGCCTGTCTAAGTTGACTTCCAGCATCAAGGAACAAATTTATACCATATATAACAGGAGGCAAACTTTTTACAACTAGACCACCTATCTATCTTTCACATTGACTACTAAAATAGTTGAATTTGTTTAGTTTAGAAGTATTATTGAATACTATTCTGAACTCTTCATAAGTTGACCAGAAAAAGAAATTTTTTTATTAAATCATTTTATGTACTAGAATTTCATTCTTTTGTTTAAATAATATTAAAAGCAAATCTAAACTTCTTTGTCAGCTGACTATATGGAAAAACTATAAGCACATTTGTAACAAGTTGGTTTGTCAGAATTCTAAAACAAAGTTTAATGTTGAAATTAATATAAAAATTTCTATCTGTCTTTATGTACTGATATATCAAGAAATATTTATACTTTGTAACTGGCATGCATCATTAATTGGCAATATATAAACAACATAACTTATTTAAGAGCAACAGGATATAAGAAATAATAAAAAATACTTTTGATCCATTACCCTCTTTAAGTTGACAAGTAAAGCAATGCACCTCTAATGGTCAACTTAGATTTCATTACAGCTTTGTTCATTTGATGATAACAGTTGAATTGTAACAACTTTTGAAACTAACTAGTGTAATTCTTTTTGCACTCAGGTATTAATTTTTAAGTACATTTATAAATTTGTTAATTACATGGTTTATTTATGGAATGGTATTTGAGTAAACATCGCCCGGCATGAGGTCGATTGCGATTAGTAACTAAATAAAAACTTATTTAATAAAATACACCAAAATAGGACACAGTAAAACTTATAGCACGTTAGTTGTCAATTCTTTTGAGATACACAGTCTTCTGTTTCATAAACAAAACAGAGGTAAAAAACTATTGACTTAGATGCCGCCCTTTCAATTTAATTAAGCTTAGGTATATACAGATTCTTTTTTATCATAAACAATTTATTTTTTTAAAAAAAGTATCTAGTAGGCAAATGGCCATTAATGAATCATTTTTAAAAGATATATTTAAATGTTTCATACTTGCACTCCTCCAAATCTGCAAGTTGCGCTACCAGACGATCTAATTGTTCTTCTAGATTTTGCTTCAACTTGTGGGTTTCTGAAAGTCCTCTAGATCTAGATGACATTTTCACATTAAAAATATACTGCACAATAAAATTTACAACAAATTAAAATATAATAAAAGTATCATGTCAATAAAATTATAAACAAACATTAAAAGGAGGAAATCTGGTTGCCCCACGGTTACGAGTTAAGTTAAAATATTAAATAAAGTTAAAATATTTTCAATTAAACAAATAGAGAAAGACTTAGTAACTTTATCTCTTTTTTATATTTAAATGACTCACGAAGTAAACTGATTAAGATAACTTTACAGCAATTTTGTATTTAATATTATTATTAGTATTACGAAATGGCAATAAATTTTTCTTCCTTTTAATTAAGTTAGTGGGCGAAGTTCACCGCCATAGGTGTCTGACCAAATTAAATAATTTCTTGATTATTAATATTTTTTATTAAGAATTTTTCTTGTAAGAGCTTACTTTGATACCAACAATAATGTAAGTATATGGTTTTTGTTCAACGATTGTTTAGATCTGTGACTTCGTGTACAATATTAATCCTGCATTGAGTAGGTGACAACTTTCGGTATGACTCATGGGAAGAATGACACCCGGATAGTTTGGGGATTACATTTCTTGATCTAGTTTATTGAAACAGCGTTTATCTTCTAGTCTATTGACACATTCTTTTAATTATATCTTACGTTTAATTTAGCCTGAAAAGAAATTTAACATTGTTCCAACAAATCTCTAAGTTATAAACATTCAAAATGTTAGTTCTGAAGTCATATTATTGTCAACTTTGGAAGATCTGTTTATGTCTAACTTAAATTCTACCGTTATTGAGAAGTCTTTATATTATAGAAATTATAATCATTCTATATGATTCTTATTCAAATATATTTTTTAATTATATCCTTTCTGACTTAATCCCACTCAATTGATTAATAAGTCTACGTTCATAGTTTTTTAAAATTATATACATCGATGATCGTAAATCTGTTTGTAATTAGACGAAAATGTCTATATTTTTGTTTTCCGTTGTATCATATTAGAAATTATTGCCTTATTTATTATAAATTAATAGTTTAAAATAATGATATTGCTGATTTGATACTAACTTTAGCAGTATGAGGATGTATTTTTTTAGTAAGAGTAATTATCCTTAAACTTCAGCAAAGCTAGATGTTTTTAAATTATAATTGTTAAGGATCTTATCTAAATTGAGTTCAGGAAAAATTTTGGTCTGTTATAAGCATAAAATGCACTAAAGATTTGGTAGTGATCTTAGTTGAAAATGATCTGCTGTAACTTGTAAATCACTGAATTTGTTAGTTTTTAATTTCGTATGTGGATATAATTTCGTACCGTTACTTGCTTACACCAACTTCTCCTACGGGCTAAAAAAATTTTAACTCCCAAAATTTTGAAATAAAATATTTGGTAATTAGCTCAGAGCTGGAAATACTCTTCGAGTTGATCCCTTCTGTAATGTATTTTTGTTTTTCCATTTGCTTCTGCCTGGGAAGTAAAAAATAAAGGGAAAGTATAATTTAATTTTACTTAATTCCTTAACAATTGTTTATTTACAATTTAAATAATTAATTTTAAGAATTACTTATTTAAAAAATAGTTTTAACAAATTTTCAACTATTTCCAGCTTTGTTATTTTGAGCACTTTATTTGAAATTTATTATAAATTGTTATACGAGATATGAATGATGTATTAAATAAAATTGTAATCATGAAATGTTATGGGTCAGGGACTGTCCTGTTTAATTTCCTAGGAAGTCATTTCTAGCTAGGCATAGCTTATTACATGAGACAATAATATTAAATTTCCACTTTTGTTATCAATATAAATGTCAAAAGGATATATATTTTAATATACTTTAGTTTAAGAGAATCTCATTCTATGATTTGATTTTGAATCTAAGTAAATTATTTTCCCCCTACAAGAAATAAAACAATTTATTTTTAGAAAAATTAACATTTGAAAAAATTAAATTATCAGGATCCTGAAAGTCCTATGGTGGAATCAGAGTTTTTTTCTTTCAAATTTTCTTTAAAAAAAAAAACCCAATATTTTAGGTCTACAGATGGAAATGAAGGAGCTGCGCCTGCAAGGCATCCTAATCCTCAACAAGCTGCCGCATCTAAAAGATTGCAACAGACACAAGCACAAGTTGATGAAGTATGAAAAGTCTTATATATAAAAATATTTTTTAAATAATACTAGTTCTGCTTTAGAAAGAAGATTAAATAATTATGTTTGTATAAGAAGTTAGTAATTTTTTTTTAAAATTAGCTTGCCTTTACACAAATGTCTATAAAATTGTTTTAAAAGGTTGGACTGATCACTTTTAAAATTTGGCATTGTTAACAAAAGCTTTAAAATCATTTCAGTTGAGACCTAATCGGTGATATTTCTGTACTATGATCTGTAGTACCAACCTCAATCGTCCGCATGACAAGTAGATTTTAAGCTTGCAATTTTTTTCTAAAAGAATATGTAGATGTTTGCCCGGCCGCAAGTTGTACTTTTCGAGTTGGTCCCTTTCTATGAATTTTTTTTTTAGTTTCTCTCGCAGGCCTCTGCCCAGAATTTGCAAAGGCTTGGCGATTAGTCTGCCATAGATCACATTACGGAAATGTCCCCACTTAATCAATAGTATTAATTACCTTTGTTGATGCTGTAGAATTTTTTTCCTATAATTGACTTAAGTATATGTTATGATTTATAAATTTAAACAATTCGTTTTTACGTCTTAAAACGAAGCAACAATAATTGTAGAATTTTGATGTGTGATTTGGGAATGGGAACCTTTAAATCAGTGAAAAGAAAAATTCAGTTTTTTTTTAGATCCTCATTCCTGAAACAAAATATTAAAATCGTTGTCAGAATTTAATTAAAAAAAAGGGTTTATGATAATATAAATTTTTTATTGAACTGTTAAAATTAAAGTACATGACAAGAGATAAATTTTATTCAATATTTCGATACAATTTAGATACAAATATAGCTTGTAAAACAAATTAAACAGATATTTAGAAATTTCTTTTGCTAGGTTATTATTTTCTTGCTTTATACTATTGTTTTTTTTAATTTAAATGTTAGCTTCATTTATTTTGTTTCTTTTTATATTATAGATCAAATTTTTTTTTCTTTCTAAAAAAACTTGAATCTAATTTCATCTTATTTGGAAAGTTAAACATTAAAAAAAAAAAAAATTATAATCATTTTTTTAAAGGCAAAAGTCATTTATAAAGTCATTTGGTGAACATGTTCAATTAATTGTGTAAATATTATTTGAAAAGTTGGTTTTATATGTTTAGAAGAATTTCATGCCTCTTTTCTATTGCAAACCAGAGCACATAGGATCTTTTTTTTTTAAAATTAATTTTTGTTAATAGATCTGTGATCTTTATAAACATGTGTTTATTTATTCATCTTGCTGATGAAATAAAACCAATTTTATCCAAATTCTTTTATATCTAGACAAACTAAGAGAATTTAAGTCTTAGAAAGCATTTAAATTGTTTTATAACTAATAAACTCTTTAAGTAATTTAAATAGAATAATTCAGGGCCCACTCTAAGAACTTCAAATGAGTAAGTTAGCCAAGTATCAAAAGTATTAGCCAAAATTTCAAAATTCGTATCCAAAAGCAGATCTTAAAAAAAATTTTTGCGATTGATTTTTTCCTATAGATAACTTCAATTCAAAATACAAATTTACTGAAAATTGAATTATTTTTATAAATTGCTCATTTAAATTAAGAAACATTTTGCAGAAAGGAACTAGAGTAAATGTGCAATGAATATGAGAGAGGATGAAAAATGTAGATGTTTTATCATCGTTGAGAAAGAGAAATGGTTAATTTTTGATAACTTTTTAGGCTAGAGCAGTAATCTAAGGATAAACCTGAAGCATTATTCATTATGTTATTATCACATTATAGTAATGGAAAAACAGATTTTCTGCAAAAACCGTTTGATGTATCTTGGCGCTTTTGTAATCTGTTTTATTGACACAAACTATAATAAAAGATTTTTTGACATGATATCGCATGATCCGGCAAAAAACTGTATTTTATTGTAGTTTGTCTTGTGCTTGCATGTTCTCTCTTGTTGCTTACATTATCTGAACTTAATATTAATTCTAACTGGTTAACAGAAATTACTGCTATCAAATAAAAGATCAGGATTTGTTCAGAAAAATTCCCTTTGACTTTTTTTTTTCATACCGAGGGATATATATATTTCTTTTTGGCCGAAAATATAATCTCTCAAAACGCAATTTTTTCCAACGGATTTACGATTTTATCGCATTTGACGAGATTGCGAATGCTTAGCGCGGGTCCTCATAATTGACTCCAAATTGAAAGCTGTAATTTGTGGAAAAAAAATAGAAGTTTGCTTTTTCTCATCTTCACTTCAGGTGATAATTATTTGTAGGAACAATTTATATTGATATATATTTGAAAAAATTAAAATAATTGGAAATTATTAGGTTGTTGGAATCATGCGGGTGAATGTTGAAAAAGTTCTGGAACGTGATACAAAACTCTCTGAATTGGATGATCGAGCAGGTGAGATAATTGAGTAAAATAAACTCAAGGATGAACTTGGTCACGTTTAAGAACTAACTTCTTAAGCAGAACCCGCATGTTCGTTAAAAGTAATAAGTCAAAAGCTTCCAGTGATGTCTTATACTTCTTTAAGGAAAAGTATAATATTTTGCATTAAAATTAAATTAACTAGTTTATTTCGAAATTGTGAGTTTGATGGTTATGGATTTAACTAATGTTGGAAAGTATATTTGGATTTCTCTTTGGAATTATCTTGTGCATTTTATTTCATTATTCTGTCAATTATTATCTCTACTAAAAGAATTAATACAGCAAAATAGAATGCACAATTTTATGTTTTGAATAATGCACTTATTGCAACTTAGATGAAATTATACAGCTTTCAATATTTCCAAAATTTATTTCCACGGAAAAAAAGCTCAATTTAAAAGTTGAGTTTCGAAACGAATCATGTAAAATTTCTTGAAAAGTTTCTTCACAATGATTTAATTTGGATACAATGGAGCTTTTGTGCTGTACCACTGGCCCTACTTTTTAGAGTACATTGTTTTTACGAATTATTATAACTATATCCAGAGTTCTCCCTAGGAATTAAGACGAGCAGGGTGCTTCCTCTCTGAAAAGGGCACTTTGAGTTTTGGCAGGGCACTCACTTTATACTGTAAAAATTAATCAAAATGTGTAATATTATTTAATAACTTAATTTTATCCGCAACAATTTTTAAATTTCCCTCTTATACTATTTTATGTGTATATTTAAAAAAATAATTAAAGGCTTACCAAAAGACAATTTTTATGCATAATTTTTGTTTAAAAGTAAGCTAACAGAAAATGATTTTAAATGATAAACAACCTGAAAGCTTTTTTCTATAATTTAAACTAAAATTTATGAAAAGATAAACATTTTAAGATGCATCTTTTTTTAAAAAGAAGAAAAAGAAATTATTAAACGAACCCTTCACAAAATATCTTTTCATAAAAACGGACCCTTCACAAAATATCTCTTCATGAAAACGAACCCTTTACAAAATATCTTTTCATAAAAACGGACCCTTCACAAAATATCTCTTCATGAAAACGAACCCTTCACAAAATAATTTTATCTTGTAATCGGACCCTTCACAAATTTGTTTATCTTCATTATTGTTTTGTTAAACCCTTCCCAGGGGGGGGGGGAAGATGGCTGGAGACAACCTAAGTTTAAATTCTAAATGTAGTATTCTAAGAAAATATTTCTACTTTTACAAACATTGTGTGCGCATTCTTATTAATATTAAATCATATTTTTTTTGTTTACAAATAATTGATCAATTTATATTTATTCATAAAATTAATAAATAGAATATTATGTAAATAAAAATTAATTTCTGGCAATTTTTTAAATACAATATTATAAATTTAAGAATTGTTTAAGTTTACTTAATGCGTAACACATTAAAAGTGATACATTACTAAGTTGTGTTATTTAAAATATGTCAATTGAAAGAATTAACAATTTGAGTGATTTTGTTTCCTATTCATCCGAAATGAATATTCTGTGTTGAGCAGTATAGGCTAAATACCAAATATTTGTATGTTGCATTTCTAATTTAGTAGAAGCAATTGTTGAGCAGAATCTTGTTTCTATTCACAATTTAAAAACTTCTTGAAAAGATTTTTAGCAATTTTTGCAATAACAGGACCCTATTTGCACAAATTCACAAAAGCAGGACCCTGGTTGAAAGAATATGACTTAACGCTTATTTTATATTCACAATTTATGAAGTTTTTTCACAATTTTACAAAAACAGGACCTTTTACAAAATATCTGGAAAGGCCCCTGAATACTCCCCCTTCCCGAAAAAAAAAATACTTATAAAAATTTAACCAGTTGAGAATAATCCTAACAAAGTAATTTTTTGTAATAGTAATCAGATTTAAACCTATAAACACATATAATTTTACCAGTGTGTAATTAATATTTAAACAGTGGATTTTTTTTTTTTTTTAAATTGAAGATAAATAAAAATTCAGTGTAAAGGAATGGCGGCATATTTTTACAAAAAAAGCAAAGAGGGAGCACTTATTGGGATCAGAGGGCAAGTAGGGCTTGCTGCCCTTCTATAAAACTTAGGGAGAACACTGCTATATATTGATAGCATGTAGCTGTGTACAAATTGCTATTTTATATTGTTTTGTAAATTAATAATTTTCGTCCCTAATTTATCATTTATAGAGATCTGCCCATTAAAATGTTATGTTTTACTATTTAATAATTTATGTATTTGATTACAACTAATTTAATGATATAGTTGTATTTGGATAAATAAACAGGTTTGTAAAATTTTAATATTTTATTTTTTTAGTATTTCAGTTGGATAATTAGGGAAATTCAAATAATGTTCTCTAAACTTTGTATGTATAAGTAATTGCATGCTATATTATAACAGGTACTTATTGAAATGCTATCTGCAACTGGATTTTAAGTTCATAACTATCAGATTCATGTATTAGTTACCAAGTTCATTCTTTAATATTCATGTTTTCATTTTTTGTGCATTGCTGCGCTTTGGAACATCTTAACCTTTAATTAGGTTGTGGACATCATGAGGACAAACGTGGAAAAAGTCTTAGAGCGAGATCAAAAATTGTCAGAATTGGATGATCGTGCAGGTAACACTTATTTGAATCATGGGGCTAGATTGTCTTGTGTAGCTTTGCTTTTGCATGGTTTAATATAGGTGATAACTTGCATTTATGTGATGCTCTGTTTTCTTTCTATAAAGTAGGTATTTGTTTTGTACTTTTCGGTTAGCCGAGTGCAAGAAGATTCAAATATTTTTTTTTTGTATCTTTATTATTTTTTTGTTAATGTTTTTTCTGTTCAGTGATTTAAAAGAAGGAAAAAAAATTAGCAGAATCTACATTTTTTGGCGACTTTTCGCTTGTGCTCGGCAAACCAAAACATTCTCTTTCTTTTTTCATTTAAAACTAACCAAAATTATTGCTTTGCTAATTGTTGAACATTTTAATTTTGTGTTTAACTTTTCCTCATTAAATTTTGTAAGCATTCCATATGCAGTGTAACCTGTCTAAAATAGTTCTATAACTACAATACTTGAGTTATAAAGCAGAATACTTGACAATACGAAAAAAAAAAAACTTGATTAGCTATAGTTAAAATGATTTTCAAATTTTTTTTTCTATTTCTATTCTGTTAAAAAAAATCACCTAACTATTATTGGCATTAGTAATGCTTAATTGTGCTATTAATTGGCACTACTGTTAATTAGTTAATATCAGATGTGTCAATATAATAGTAAAGTGATTTTTTTATGGCCTCCACGTAAACAGAATAGTACCTAAGGTACTGTTAATATGAAAAAAGAAATTGTTTTTTATTCATTGATAATTATAATAACTCAGTGAATATTATAATCTTAGGACTTTGACAAATCAAAAAGTTAAAATCTTGTTCAATTTAAAGTAATTTGACCATAAAACTTATTTTGAATATGCTTACAGCCGCTTTATATTTTTCTATAACAGTGTTTATTTTTTGCAGATGCATTACAACAAGGAGCATCACAGTTTGAACAACAGGCCGGTAAACTTAAGCGAAAATTTTGGTGGAAAAATTGCAAAGTATGTAATATATTTTATGTTTGTTCTGAAAAAATTAGTTCTTGATTGCTTGATTATAAGAAGCTTTTTTGTGAAGTTGTCATTACCTAAGAATATTAAGTTATAGAACTATATTATTATAACTAGTACTTTAAAGCATATTACTGTATATTTTTGAATATAAGCTCATATTCGTATAAGCCAAAGAGTACGCTTTTTATTAGGAAATTCATCCAAAATTGAAAACTCGTAAATAAACCATTGTAAAAAAAGGGGTGGGTGCTACATTTGGAAACAAAAATGTGTCTGATCTCTAATTATGGTAGATCTAGTAACGGTTGCACAGGAGATAAAAGAAGCCGAATCCCTCCAAATTTATAATTAGAAGGTTAAAAAATTTAGTAATCCTTTCAAATTGTTATTTTTATGCGTCTCTCTTTTAAATTTTTATATTTAGGCATTTAGTTTTCAATTGTTGTATTAATTTTTGTTTTGTGATATTTACCGATTATCACTAAAGCTTGAAAAAGGTAGAAGTATTTGTTTTGGTGATGTCCTCAAAGAATTTTTCAAAGTTAGTCAATCCAATTCTAAACCGACTCACCCCAACTACAGCTGTAGAAAAGTTTCTAAAAATTGAAGCTTATATTCGAAAATCTACACTATTTACTGCAATTCTTGTTAAAGACTGATGACTGAAGATCCTTTAATACAAATAGAGATTTGTTGCTCAATCAAAATCATTTTTGGTGTGCATTCTAATGTTCTCCAATGTAAAGAGGCATTGTTTGACTGTTCGTAAAAATGCATCTAGTTTTTCTGTTTCTTTAAAGGCAATGTAAATCAATGCTTAGTGTGAAACTATATTAAAGTAGGCATAGTGAAACCTTCAGGAAAGACCACCTCTATGTAGCTACCACTTTTGGGAGGCAAAGAGGGGCAATAGACTTTGCGTTGCAGAAAACATTTGGGAGAGATCATTAAAACCTCTCCCAGTTACTGGAAAACATCTCTACCAAATGCAGAAAAGGTCAATTAGGGAAACACGAAAAAATATCAAAACCAACAATTTCACAAAACAAATAAGTAGATTTAAATGTGTTAAAATATGTGTGCGAAGCTCTTATTTAGAGTTTTTTTTTGAAGATATAACCTCTAGTTGCAGTCAGATTGCACTAAAGATGATTTAGATTACTTTTAGAGTTGGAAAGTTAAATTAGAAGGACTGTTCATCTATAGATTATTGTGTTGCATAGATGAACCTACTAAGCCTACTCTGATAAATTTGCTGTCCATGCAGGGAAATGAAATGATATGACTTAGCTGCCAAAATCTATTAGCTTAAAAAAAAACTTTAAAAGAAAATAAAAAATTGAATTGCAAGAGTTAGAAGAAAAAAATAACAGCAAATAATTTTAATTTTACATGTTACAAGCAAACTTTATTAATAATTTACTATGATTTTTAAAAAAATTTTTTTTAATAAAGTACCTTAGATTTTCTTATGTATTCAAATTAAAATTATAAGATTGGTAGGTTTTTATGTTAATTTTTAACGTCTGTACTATGTACTTTAACAAGATTTATTAAAATATTTGAAGCTGGAAGAAATATTTATGTGTGAAAGGGATAACTTTATTTATTTTTCTTGATGAAGTTTGACAAAATCAAAATTTATTTCAAAAGGGCTAGAAAAAATATCTTATGCAAAATATACATTTTTGCAAGTTTTTTATAGTAACTGATTTTTGATTTTTTTTTTTTAAAAAAAGCTACCTAGTTATCATTTACGCAAAGTTTTTAAATTTTGGACTCCTTAAATTTGGATACTCCTTGGATTTCTTCTCTGATCTTTGTATGAGCCCTGCTAATATTTCACTTTTCATTTGCCCGAAATAACTCAGGATAGTAAATTGATGGTAAATGAAATGTTTTTTACACTTAAAAAAAAATTTAAATTTCAACTAAACTTGTGTATTATGTTTTGTTTTTTTAATGTATTATGTTTTTTCTTTCTTTTTTAGTTTCTTGTCTTTAAAAAATATGTTGATTTTTTTTTTCTTCAAAAATTTTTAAGGGTTAGCAGTTAAATTTGTAAAAAAGTATTTTCTTAGGGCTGTAGCACACAATCCAATGCTCAAAAGGAGCTTTAATCTTGAGAGTGCTTATTTCAGAGTCTTAAAATCTTATTTGGAACAAATCGGTTCAGAATTGTGGATTTGCAAAGAAAATATTACACATATATTGTTCAGCTGTGTAGATGTCAAAACAGAATTTTAGCTTAAGTATAATTTTCATTTGTGGATATCAGTTTTGACTGAGTTTAAGTTCTAGAAATAAGGAGTATTTTTACCTTTTGTTATATTTTCTAAAGTGAAAGAAAAAAAGTAAAAAGTGAAAAAAAAACTTGCGAAATAATTTCATTACAATTATGTTTGATTGTAGATGATTGCCATCATGGTCAGTATTGGTCTAATAATCATTATCATTATTGCAGGTAAGTGGAACGCTTTAGAAAGTTAGATGGGCATGAAAATATGCTTTTTTTTTAATTTTTATTTTTGTAGGAAAGTGTTTAATCATTTTGGTTCAATATTTTTGTTCAATTCTTTATTCCTAATTGTTTTATTATTTATTTTTGTTTTTTAGTTATCTGCATTCATTATATTTATTTTTCAGATGTGGGCAATTATAATTGTTGTCATTATTGTTATTATTGTTGTTATTGTTGGTAAGTTTTATTTTCAGTTTATGATTTTCCTTCTATTTAAGTTCCCTTTTATATTATTTTGCAATTTTTGGATTTTCTTTGACAATTTATTTTACGTAATTAGCATGATTAATATTTTTGTTTTAAGGTTTTATTCAATACTTGTCATTGCTAGATATTTTTATTGAAGTGTTTTTTTTTTTTTTCATTTAATGTAGTTTATGATAATGTTGAATTGATTATAATTATCTATTTTAAAAATATTCTTCGAATTTCAATTTATTGTATCAACATTGATATGTTCTGTTTTCATACGGTTAAAAAAATTCTCCTATTTTTAATTTTGCAGTGTCTTACAATTTATTTTTTGAAGTTTTTCTTTTTATCACGCTGTTTGTTGTTTTTGTTTTGTTTATTTCTGTCTTTTCTACATATTTGAGAAATTTGAAATGCTAATTTTTGTAGTAAATATAATTTATTATTTTGATTTTTGTTATAAAAACAATGGCAAAAGAAAAATATTACTTTTTTAAAAAAAATTTTTGTTTCATATCTTTCCCAATTTTCTTTTCTCTTGTTTTATAATTGATTTCTCTATTCTGCTAACTCTAAATAACATTTCTCCAATGTTCATATGTCTCGGAAAAAAGGCACAAAACCCAGAAAATGAAAAAATTTTGTTAAAAAAAATTAAAAACTTAGAAAAATATGACTTCCAGTCTTTATTTTTTTAAAAATAAATCAATTTATTTTAAAAATGAACTCTCATTTTTTATTTAAACCCCTAGTTTTTCAATGCAAGTATGAGGTCATTTCTATTGATACAGCAGTTTTATATTAAGTAAAAACTTTTATTAAAACTTGAAATAAAGCTCTGACACAACTGTCAGTCATTTATCAAGAATATCATGGAGATTAAGGTTCCACAATTTCCAGACCAATGTGTTCGGCATTGCATACCAGCCGCCTTTACTTCTCTGCTAGCTGAATTTATCAATGTGATCAGGGGTCTGTCTAGGTTTTTCTGAGAGGTACCTATTTTGTGAAAAGTTAGACATAATATGTGAAAAATTAAAAATGATATTAAAAAATCAACACAAAAACATAGTAAAAATATAGATTTATCGTTTCTTAAGGATACAAAAATAAAATTTTAAGAAAAAGTACTTTGTGAAACTACCGTTTTTCCTAAAATTGAATTTGTGAAGGTACCGCTAAACGGTAGTAAATTCAACGTGGACAGACCCCTGGTGATGCTGGGTCTGTTTCAGCTGCCATCAACAATTTCATAATGACAGCCTAGAACCTTAACCATTACTGTTGCCGCTCTTTATTAAAATTTAATAACATTTTACTGCATTGTTAAATTAAGTTTTTAAAGATGCAATTATTACTTTAAGATATTGCACATATTTAGTGAGGATTTTCAGTTTTTTTTTTTTCCGTATGAATCTTGTTCTTAACAAATATTAATTTTTTATCAATGCAAAGTGGTTTTGCAATTACTGTGTCAAAATTTTACTGTCTTGCAAGCTAACTGTCAAAAAATGAATTAAATGTTTATTTAAAGGTGTTATAAGACATGAGAATAGTATTAAAAACAATTATATAGTTATCTTAGTAACTGTTCCAGTGACAAAATTTTCAAATGGCAATACTTTTTTGAAATGTGATCATTATAGCAAAGAATTTTAAAAAAATAAGTTGAAATGATATTTTTAGCACAAATGGCAGCACTAAGCAGAAATGAAGAAAACAGTATTCAAACTTTTTACTTGTCTGTGATTCAGCTTTACTGAGCCCACTCTTATGACAGCAGGAAAATGAAAATACTCATTCATATGTTACATTTTGTTTTTTCATTTCTGTCTAGTATTGGTCCTTGTTAAACTGTGCTACCGTAAAGTGCTCAACTTCGCGCGCAGGTCGTCGGGCTACCGAATCGGGGGTGCCATCCCCTCCGCAGAGGATCAAAATTGTGATGGCATGTCTTCGGATCATCCTCCGGGATGTTTCCCAGACCGTCGCCAATAGCCCATTGTGCAGCTCTCGTGCGACGTAAATTAACAACAACAATAACAACAACATCATTTCTGTCTATTGTCATCAGTATTCATAATAATAATATGGCTCAAATTTTTTTTCTTTTTTCAAATCAAACTTTCTGAAGATCGTGTTTTGATGAGTATAACTGTTTCCTTTAAATAATTTCTCAAAGTTCCATCTCTGTAATGTGAGAACTACATAATTGTTTTTTAGTACTTATCAGTTATAAGGACCATGTAGCCAAATTTGCTATATGTGCATACTAAATGCAATATGACGCAGCCAAAAATAAATAAATAAATACAAATAGTTTTCTGCTTTATAATGAACAATGCACACATCTAGTAATTTATATTTTATAATATTTACTAAAAAGTATGTATAAAATATATTTTTATTTATATTGTAATGCTAATTATTTCATTGGCTAAATTAAAAAAATTTGTTTCATTAAACTCCAACAGTGTATTTATTATTACATAGTTTGAAATAATTCTTTCCTTAGAAACAATCCTTATATAATCTTAATTGCTTGAAACTGGTTTGCAAAATTCTTAGCTTATTATTTACATTTTTTAAAATTTGATATTGGATTTAATATTACATAGTTGAAAGAATTCTTTCAGTAGAAACAATCTTTATATAATTCTAATTGCTTAAAACTGGTTTGCAAAATTTTTAGCTTATTATTTACATTTTTTAATATTTAATATTACATAGTTTGAAAGAATTCTTTTTGTAGAAACAATCTTTATATAATCTTAATTGCTTAAAACTGGTTTGCAATATTCTTAGCTTATTATTTACATTTTTTCTGGGAAGTTGATATTTTAGCCTAAAATAAAATTAACAGTCAACATTTCTCTTCTCATTCTACTTTAATTAGCATTTGTGATAACATTAATGAGTTTCAATTTTCTTAACATTTCTCTTAATTTCAAACTATATTTCTTTGCTCTTTACTAATACTTCATCTTCAATACTTTGTCTTCATCTATATTTGTACTCTTGCTTTTTAGCCTGGGCATACTCTTAAGGTTATTGAGCTCTAACGACCTCAACACCTTATGTGCTCACAGAACATCTACAGATCTTCACACCCTAATTTAAGAAAAAGAATCAGTCATGTTGTGCATGTCTATTGTTTTTGTCTATGTGTATTTTATTATGCATTTTGCTAGGTATAAGAAGTATTGATGTTAACCAGTGTTGCGAAGATAAGAAAAAAAACTATTAAATTTAATAAATTACACATAGTGTTAGTTACTGTAAGTAAACAGGAAATATTACTGTGCTGTAATTTTGTGCAGTGATTGTTAGCATTAGGATAGGGGCTGACTCAACATGCATTCAGCTCTATAAGTTAAAAAGGTTTTTTAAGTTTTAAGAGTTTTTGTAAGTTAGGAACATATCATTGGTATCAAAATTATAATCAAAGGTATAAATTGGGTTAATTTGATAAAAAGTTTTTTGAAATTTATCAAAATTTTTGAAGTTTACTAAAAGATCTTATCTATTTGATAAATTTAAAAAAAATATTTTGGATAAAATTAATTTTACTGCTCTTTTATATAACTGTAGATTTAGATTTTTTAATGCAGGTTATATTTTGTATGTAACGATAAATATCTTTGAATTGCATCATTCACAAACTATTGTATAAAGATCCATCTTAATTGATATTCTTTTAATAACTTCTACGCAGAGAAATTATATTCATAAATAAATTTAACAATATGAGTAATTTATATGAAGACCTATTTTAGATCTAATTTTTATAACAAGGGTTGATTCAAATTTTGATTATATATGTGAGAATTATATAATCTAATACTAACACAGGAATGTCTATCTGTGTAATGTTCTTTAAGATTTTCTTGTACATAGTGCTGGTGCTTGCTTTTTTAACATACATTTCTTGAGTACTATGACCTTTTTGTGAATTGGTTTGTAAAAGTTGGGGAGAGTTTGCTAATTGATAGTTGTACTTTCGTATACCTTGCTGCTCTTGCTGTTCTGTGTTAACTGCTGATACAGTTTAAATTTAAATGAAAAACAAATGTCCAAGAAAGTTATGCCATTCTCAATTTTTAATATTGCTGTTAACTAGACGCAAAATTTGGTGTTTCTGGTATTTTAACTAAACAGATAGGCAGCATTATTTATACAAGGTGGTCCAAGATAAAGAGGAGATTGAGACTTTGCTAAATAGAAAACTACTGGATATTGTATCCAATATTACAGATGGGGAAGTAAAGTGTCTAATTAAATATATACACAGTGATTATGATTAAAATCCAATTTTCTAAAAGCTATAAAAAAGTAATCAGCATGCGTCAGAAAAGGTTTAAAAAAAGTTTTTGTTTGTTTAGATTCAATTTTAGCAAATTTACTCTGTATAAACATGAAATTCGTTTTGAAATATTTACAAAATTCTTTTATGTATAATTGACTGAAAACTTTTTTAATTCTTTGTAAAAATATAAATAAATAAAAAAATTAGTCTTTCTGAAATAAACCAATCTAGTATTCAACATATTTTTTTTAAATTTGAGTATTTTAATAATTATATTCTAAATTTATATTAGCTTTTTCCGTTTTGCATATTTGACTACTCAGTCTCATTATGTTTTTTGCAGAATTTTTTAGTATTAGAAGTTATTTAAATCAACCTTAATACTAGGAAACTTAATTGTCTAAATACCTCTTCTTTTTGTACTAGGTTAATTCTAAATAAAAAAAATTAGTTTTTTAAAAAATAAATTAGTTTTTTTAAAAATAAATTTAACCAATTTTATTTTTCTAATAGAATTAAATTTTTCCATTAATAATTTAGTTTTTTTTCTTTCTTGTCCTGAAATGAAAAAATTGGAGCTTATTTTAAATGCATTTCCCCCCATGTTCACGATTAAAATATGCAGATTTCAAACTTATTTCTTACTAATTGGTATTTAATCATAAGCTAATGAATTCTGCATTGTGGGCAAATTTTAAATTTATTTTTGCTTTTAATAACCACCTGATTACCTAAAATTATAATTATCCCACAAGGCCAAATGAAATAAACTTTTTACCTAGTCTTTTTTTAATAGTTATTTTTTTTCACAAATTTTTGCTAAAAATATTCTTATTTTGATAACCGACAACTTTAATTAAAAATTTGATATGTATAAAAAATTTTCACCCAAACATTTTATTTTTAAAGAAAAAAAGTGTTTTGCATATCAATATCTCAGCTGTGGGAACAAAATTTAGCAATTTTTTTTATATTGTAATTTTTAAAGAAAATATTATAATAAAACGAGTATATTTTTAATGATTGTAAATATAAAGACTTTAATATTAAAAATTTTGTGCTGTATTTAAAATAAACTTAAAGGTATTATAAAAAATTTGCCAATCGAGAGATTTTTATAACCTGCCAATTTCAGGTTTTGGGAACATTATCTACCATTTTTAGAAAAGCAAGTTTTTAATACAATTTGACTAAATCTTCATCAGATTTTTTAAATAAATAAAAGCAAGAGAATTGTTTCATATACTGTATTTTTATTCAAAACTATTTTCTCTATGAAACAAATATAATTGCTTATAAATAGATTTTATGGTTATTATCCCAGTAGCAGAATGCACAGAGTGGATCTGCAGCACTACCCAAATTTCCAAATTTGGATAGTACTCCAAAAATAATCCAAATTTTTTTCGTGAACTCAACAGTGTCGGACTAAAAATAGATTAATAGAAGACAACTATTGTAAAAATTCAGCTGAATCTGGCATACGTGTAGTAAAATTTTCAAAATAATAAATTTAACAAAACAAAGTAATCTTAAAAATTATACTTTGTGTTGTTAAATTTTGTGCAGTTATATGGAAAATGGAATAAATCCTTTATAGTTAAGTCTGTGATCAAATAACAGAAAAAAAGTCTTTTTGTTTTTTGTTGAGTTTTCTCTACTCAGCTTTTTAATTTTTGATTAAAACTAGTTTTAAATACATAGGTCAAGAAGTTTTTTATTTTAGTTACTTTTTATTAGATAATTACAATGAATTTAAATATGTATATACATATTTACACATTATTATTACATAAAAATACAGGGATGAGATTTTTTCCCTTTTTAGCCGATTTCTGCCTTTTTCGCTTTTGTCTCTTGAATTTCAGCCTTTTTATCAATAACTCCGATTCATGTTTTTAAAATAAATATTCCACTTTTTCTAAAAAATCAGCCATTGAAATAAAATAATCATATTTATTTCCGATTTTATATATAGATACAGTAGGGAGCTGATTATCCGGAACGATCGGGACCATTGCTATTCCGGATAACTGATTTTTCCGGTTTTCTGAATTACTACAAAAAGCAGTTTTTTTTATTGTTAAACTCGACTAAAAAATTTTTTTTTTGAAATAATCTTAAAAAGAAGAAAAAACGATGAAGTAATACACTAATGATTATTTCCAAAATGATGGTAAGGTAAAAATCTGTTAAAAAAGAAAAAAAAAAACCTAAAATCTTATGAGGAAAAAAAAATTATTATTATTATTTTTAAATGGCGGGAAAATTCATCGAATTTCGTTCCGCCTTTTTGGTTTTCCAGTTTTCTGATTTCTGGATAACGGGTTCTGTACTGTTTAATAATCGAAAGGTATATAAACAATTCAAACTACGTAGCTGCCAACCCTTCTGCATATTTACTTATTTTAGCTATCAGCTTTTATGAGTAGAAAATAAGATTTTCCTCAATTTTAGTCGTCTGCTAGATAGCTCGTATTTTCGTAATCCAGACATCGCTCCATTTTAATATCTAATATTGATTTTCGTATTTACCTGATTTAAAAGTAGCAGGTTGCGATTCTTATTCATGTGATTTCAGTATCGTTCATTGCAATACAAGATTTAAAAATCCAATATCGCGATTTGTATTGAGGCTTTTTTAAAATTCTATGCAAAGATTCGTATTCATGCGAGTTTATCCAATGTCCTGATTCATTTTTGCGGTTGTAATATCCAACATCTATTTTTGTATTTACACGTGAATTAAAAATTAGGCTTTGGATTCATATTCACGCCATTTAGAAATTATTTTTTTTTTTTTTTTTTTTTTTTTTTAAAAAACGGCAGGCACTGAACTTTTCGTTCTTCGCCATAGAAGATGCCGGAATTGTTACTCATTTAGTGTTACCCAGTGGGCACCTGTGAACCAAAGTCACGGAGGCGAGTAACGTTACCCACGCCATACTGCCACAAACCCGTTCATAGGGTGGGCCACATTCACTCATTCACACAACAGAAGACAACACAGAGAGAGAAACATCCATGCCCAGAGCGGGATTCGAACCCGCGGCCATTGGCTCCGCAGTCAGACACGCTAACCACTCGGCCACCTGGCCGGCCATTTAGAAATTATGCATCGTGATTCGCATTTACGCGATCTGAAAATTATGCATCACGATTTGTATTTTCACATTTTTGAAATCCAATATCGTGGTTTATATTCTCGCGATTTTAAAATCCTTTATCAAGATTCATGTAAAAAGTATGTTTTTTTCTTGAATTAGTTACAATAAAGGTGGCAGTTTCTTTATCGAGGATTATTGCTATATATAGGTCTTACAACATCAGCGAAACTGGATGAGAATATGTATTTGTACAGTAGGGAATAGGATTGTTGTAGTAGGATTATCCGGAACGATCGGGACCATCGCTATTCCGGATAACTGATTTTTCCGGTTTTCTGAATCGCTACAAAAAACCGTTTTTTTTTATTGCTAAACCCAACTTTAAAAAAAATTGGAAATAATCTTAAAAAAAAAAAAGAAAAAACGATGAAGTAATACACTAATGATTATTTCCAAAACGATGGTAAGATAAACATCTTTCAAAAAAGAAAGAAAAATCGTAAAATTTTATGAGAAAAAATTGCGGGAAAATGTATTGAATTTCGTTCCGGTTTTTTGGTTTTCTGATTTCCGGATAACGGGGTCTGTACTGTATATGTATTTTTGCTATAAATCACGTGAGATTTACTCGCCTGAAAATTCAGCTTTTTTGCCTTCTCATCCCTGTAAATATCTTATGTAAGAAAATTATTTTCCTCCCATATTAAACTAAAATTAATTCTATTTAATCAATGAATTAACATTTGAAAAAACTATTAACATCAAGTGTCATTCACCTCAAGTTTAAAAAAAATGTATTTGAACTTGAGTGAATGAATAAAAAGTATTTTATTAACGATTGAAAATTTGAACAAGATATAGGGAGAGTGTGAACTAATAGTAGGAATTGAAGAAAGATAAAGAAAACTTGGATAAAAGTATGCCGGAGTGTCCGCTGCTCTGCTGAAAGGTTTCTGCTGCTGGGGTTAATATAATCATTTTACTTAAAGACAGTATTGAATTTTTGTCTCATTTCTGTCTAATTTCAATAAAATCAGAATTTTTTTTTTTATAAAATTAAATCTTCTAAGAATGAAGCTTAAGAGGTATTTATTTATGTTTCATATTTCCTTGTATATTTCAAGATATTTTTAAAATCAAGAGCATTGTTTTATAGATCATATTTTATTCAAGAATATTTGCTCTATTGAATCCAAATTTAAATACTTATAAATAAATAGTATGGTTAGTATGATATTACATAACAGTATTAAAATTGCTTTTGAAAGTGAAATTCAAAAGCTTTTTATTTATGCATGTTTTATATTATCGTGTTTATAATTTATTATTATTATTATTTCTAAAGTTTTTCTCCTCTTTTCAGTTTCAACTACCACTTAAATTTTGCCACCTCAGATGCCAGATTATTTTTTAGATCCTTTTCTTGCATGCTAAAAATAATGTGAAGCAATCATAAGAAAAGTTGTGACTTGAAAATACAATATTTATTTTAAAAAATTTGCTTTTTTTTTATGTTCATACAAATAAAAATATCTGAAACCAGGAAATATTGCATGTTTTTTTCCCTTAATATTTTTTATTGTCCAATTTAATATATGGCTGTTATTTCGAATGTTTTGTTTCATTTTAATTTATTTTAGTTAATTACATTATTTTGCATGTAGTTGTTTCTTGATTTTGTTCAGATCTCTTCACTTTTAAACAGTTTTTAAGTAGTAATACATTCAAATATTTTTTTAGCTTTTATATATTGAATGAGATTTTTCCCTCAATTTTAATGATTTGTGCTTTTTATTATATTTATTTCAGTCTTTTTTTTTGATAATATGCTCGATTGTTGTAGGTTGAATAGTGTGTTATAAGTTTTGTTTGATAAATTACTTTCAAATGTATATAAAAGTATTGAATGTCTCTAATATATTCTATAAATATATTTTATAAGTTCTCAGAAGATATTAGTTTTTGATGCATGGTGGATTTCTAGTTATCTCACCGTGGGTGTTTTTTGATATTCTAAAAATTTGCTAGCTGGTGTTTTAAATCTGAAATTCAAAAATTTAGTGATTAATATATTTTTTTTTATCAAAAAAATCTCAAAAGTATGAATTTTATGAATTTTAATTAATAATATTGTATCAGTTTTATTTAAACTATAATTGTAAAATTATTCTGTTCCAATAGAACAAAAGAGTTTTGATATTGTGATATTAAATAAAGTAGAAAAACATGCAATAGCAACAGCGCCGTTATCAGTAAGGAGACTTGGACACCATTTGTTACATTCTTTGCTTTTTACTGCAGATGGTAGTTGCTGAAGCAAATGTCTTTCTCAGGGAGGGATATTAGTTCTCTTAAATGTTTTTCTATTTTATTTAATGTTTTTTTTTTCGTATACGAACACCAGTGATTTATTTATTATTGTGAGATTAAAAAGGTGAGTATTTAGCTTACATTCCTTGAAAAAGATGTATTTTTTTGTGATTGTATTCTGTGGTTTGAAATTGTCTCTCTGTATAACATGAATTTAAAATGTTTTACCATCCTTTCTTCTTGAACTATTTAATTCTTTTTTTCGTTATTTGAATAAATTGTTTGTTCTGTGAAATTATGTATAAAAGCTATGTTGATGTGCGTGCGAAAAAGTTATCTTAAAATGCTTAACTGCAAATTATATCGGACGTTGCTTTGGTCACATTGTTTCTTTATAGACATAAGCTAGAACTTTTGAATTTGTGTTTACAACTCTTTCCTTGTTGTTTTATGTTATTGAATTTATCGTTCTACATTATTGAGGGGAGGGAGCGTATGGTTGTTATGCATATTGTATGGTTGCAAGTTATGCATATTGTAATTCATGATAATTTTTTTAGATAAGTATAATTCAATTTAAAAACTTGCAATTTGTTTAAAAATAAATAATTATTTTGACAGACTTTTAAAAATTTAGTTTTACAACACTTAAGATCTAAAATTATTAAATGTACAGATGCTTTTATAACAGTATTAAAGTGATGAAATTTGTAAGATTTTATGAAAAGCTAAGCAAAAAAGTTAAATGTTTAACATACATGTTCATTTCTTTAGTATTTCTTTCAAATTAATATGGCATTTAGTAAATTTATTACAATAAACGGTTTATTTACTTGGAGCTTGCTACAAATTCTTGAGATTTTAAATGTGTGAAAGTTATATAGAGTTGTATAGAATGAAAGAAAATAGCAATTTTTGTTGCATTGAATAGGGGAAAAAATATTGTATTACATATTTTTAATGCAAATGTATGTAATCTTGTCCACATAGTTGAAGGAAACTAAATTGTGAATTGATTGAAAAGAATGAAGTTGTAAATAATGAGTTAGAGCTGCTAATTTTAAGCAATGAAAAAATAAATAGGTGTGGGAATATGTTGTAAAATATCAGTATTATTTCCATAACTTGTGTATTATTTGATGAATGTTAATAAAAAGAATATATCTGCATTAGCTTTCTTATTTTAAGGGGAAGAGAGAATGATTGGGAAATCGACCTTTTGCAGGGATGTATTCCGGGGTTTAAATATCATTCTTCTAGGCAGTGATCGGAAAAACTACACTATTTTTGTAGTTTGCTACAACTACTTTTTTTTTAATGTAGTGACTACAAACTACTTTAAAGAGACTAATATTGGATTTGCATTCACGTGTTTTTAAAATCCAATATTGCAATATTCGTATTCACGCATTTGTAATACCAAACATCGATTTTGTATTTATACGTGATTTTAAAATTACACTTTGAGCTTTGTATTCACGTGATATAAAAATCGTATTGCGATTTTAAAATCCAATGTCGCGATTTTTGTAATTTAATTCTTAAGCTTACTAAGTTCAAAAACATGTAGAGTAATTTTACAAAATCTTAGTTCAAAAACATGTAGAGTAAATAAATTGATGTCGAGTGTTTGCTCATTAAATTTCTCACTTTGTGTCGAATGATTCTATTTCAAATTAAAGAATTACTTACAGATTTTGAAAACTACAGTCAATTCTTAATTTCTGGCACTTTTTATTTATTAATTTGTAAATGGGAACTTACTTACAACAACTTTATCCTTGTAATTTTCGATTGAAGATAGCATGTTTTATCCAATAATATTAGATATTTTTCCTGCAGCAAATTTCACAATTCTTTCAATGATTCTTAATTTTCTGGCACTTTTTATTTATTAATTTGTCAATGTGACCTTACTTTCAGCAAGTTTTTCACTGTTATTTTCGATTGAAAATAGCATATATTATCCAATAATAGATATTTTTCACAGTATTAGTTTACTCTAATTTTTGCTAACCTGCGTAAGCTCCGAGGGTGTGTGATAACTGTCCTTGTTAAACATCCTCCTAATAAGTGCTCGATTTAGCACGCAGGTTGTCAAACTATAGGGGTCACTGCTTAGGACTGGTTTCGGCGAGAGAACAGGAATCTTTATTCTGTCTATTGTGCTAGTCCTAGAGTGAAGAGAAGCTACTCTCCCTGAAATGCGCTATTCTTGTTTCCATAACAGACGGCGTCAGACTTTGTGACGGGGAGTTCTTACCATAGACAAACCGTCAGCTGGGGATCAATATTGTGATGGCATGTCTTCGAATAATCCTCAAGGATGTTTCCTACACTGTCGCTAATAGCCCATTGTGAAGCTCTAGTGCGACCTAAATTACGTAATATTACTCCTATTAAATAAAAGATTAACAATTTTCAGTATTACTTTGTATACTATTTTTCTCGGCCAACTCATGATAGTCAAAATTTACTAAAATCAATCTTTTCCCGGCTTTTATCTTTTTCGGGGAAGGGCAGAAAAACCTATTACCATAGTATTTATAATGAACATCTATATTATCGTGTTTATTTTTGATTAAAACAGCATATACTATTACCACAATGCATAGTAGTATAAATTACCAAAATTAAGCCTCATTGGTGTCATAATAGTTAGGTGACTTTTTTTATGGTCTGAAATACTTTCAATTTTTTGTTCATAATTTTTTTTCCTTCCAAATTGGGTACTTGCGAGTGACGTAATCGTCGGTAAATCGTGGCAATTGCTGAATTAGAAGCTAATAAGGTTCGACACATCCGCGTGACGTCACTAACAGATATTTAATTAAATCTGTTTTAAATCACATGGTTAGGTATAGAATCACTTCATTCATTCTAGAGTTGCAAATACAAAATCAATGTCTATTTTAAATTAATTTTTAACGAAACACACTTTTAAAGCGTAACTATAAATAATTATATTAACTCAGTTTCAAGTAATTTTAGAAATGCTAATTTGGTGGCATAGCCCTCATGTTTTCCATGGTGATCCTTGAGCTTACCTGATATAATGGATGAAAAATAATTATTGAATAACGTGTAATAAACTATTTTTTTTTCAAACGTCTTGTAAACACCACTGATAACTTTAAAATGTATATATTAGGGGAATTAAATATTTGTTAGTCTTAAAAACCAATAATTTTTTTTTTCCACCGGCATTGAAAGGTTGTTGCTAACGAGGGTGAATACATTCTTGATTAAAAGTAAATATTTATATATATATATAAAAAAATCTTTTGTTCAATTTATAATGATGGCTAATTCTAAGCTATTTGGGTACTTGCAGCTTGAGAATAAATTAAGCCTAAGCATGAGATTCAATTAAATACTTGTAAGCGACGTCACACTTGCTTGTCGAACCTGATAGGCTTATGAATCTATAAATACCACGATTTACTTAAAATGACGATTATTTGCTGACATGACATCGTTTTAGAATAATTCATTTTTCAGATGTCTCTCCAAAAAGATAAAGCAGTTCGTCTTGCTACCGAAGCGGGGGTGCCATCCCCTCTGCAGAGGATCAAAATTGTGAGGGCATGTCTTCGGATCATCCTCGGGGATGTTTCCCAGACCGTCGCCAATAGCCCATTCTGCAGCTCTAGTGCGACGTAAATGAACTACAACAACCAAAAAGGGAAAATTTAATATTTTGAATAATTTTTAAAAATGGGTGAGAGATGATAACACAAAACGGTTGTGGAATTAACAGAGACAACCATTTTATTTTTTAGATTAGTATAAATGGAACAACTTATTAAATAAAATTGCATATAATAACAAGTTATCCGATAGACGATTTTTATAATTTTATTATTGAAAAAGAAAATGGAGCTTGAATAACAATATTGATTGTAATTTTTTCTCCTTGGAAATTCTGTTTTTGTTATAAAAAAATTTAATGGATGTTGTTGTAGTTCATTTACGTCGCACTAGAGCTGCACAATGGGCTATTGGCGACGGTCTGGGAAACATCCCTGAGGATGATCCGAAGACATGCCATCACAATTTTGATCCTCTGCAGAGGGGATGGCATCCCCGCTAAAAATTAATTGAAGAGCCGGTGCTGTAAATAATAAATCAACGAAGAACAACAGAATATAATTTCACAAATTTTCGAAATCTCACTATGGATTAAAAATTATATCAGAATATTTTCGAAATTTTAACAATAAGCCACAATCGCGTTGTGATCGAAAGATGCAATTCTTTAATCGCCTGATCGCATTCCAGAAGGAAAAAAAACCCCAGTTCAGCCCCATCCGTCGGAATTTCTTTAATTAAAACCAGCGACTCTGGGAGAATAACTTTGTATTGTCAGGAATAAACTAGAGGAATAAAAAAGAGTTGTCTTTTAAAATAATTAACTGTTTTCCTGTTATAATATTTGAAACCTGCACTCTTAATTTTGGTTACCGATACCCTGAAAGTTGGCTAAGTTATTTAATAATCACCCTGTATATATAAATATATTTTTTTTATACTGGGATAAAGCCAAAAAAAAAAAGGTTATTTGGTATTCATCACCCGTGCTTTCTTATTTCTGTTAGAAATTTCCTAAGAAAGAGAGACTGATAGTTTTGTTGATGTAGACGTGATTCAATTTCATTTTTCAGGTTTCGATACATTTTTAAACGTGCCCAAAATACGAGACTAGTATATTCCTAAAGCATAATTCTTCAATGTCATTTCTATATTTATTTCGAGTTTTCAGTTCCAGATCAAACAGTTAATATTTTTAGAAAAAATTCTTGTTTTGAAGTTTTACATAAGTTGGTACTTTGTCGCGTTAGAACTTAGTTTTATTTTTGATTCAAATTTTCACAAAAAGTTTGATAAATGTAAAATAAGTCACACGTTTTTTATATTATATGTCTTGAATCAAATTATGGTAAACACTTCTGATTTAAATATGATTATCTCATTACCTCTAGGGCTAAGGGGTACTGAATTGGAGATTGAGTGTTCTCTGGTTCAAGTCAAAATTACGATCTGTGGATGAATGAATGGAGTACGACTGGGTACTCACTGTGAAACAGGCTATGACGTGTGTATTATGTAAAGCTATAAAAAGATCAAACGATTATATATGATTGTTATGAACTACTAGGGGGCTAAGCCCCCTGTTCGCTGCCACTCACCAACCCCTTCGCAATAATTGTCTTTTCTTGGCAGAAAACAATTTTTTTATTAAAGTTAAAATTATTCACTTAACATATATGTACTAAAAAGGAATTCTGTTTATTACTCTTGTGCCTCTACTTCCCACGTCTAAATATTACTCTCAAATATTACTTTATCCAAATATTAGATCTCTTGGTGAACGGAAGTGATTTTAGAAGTAATCGTTTTTTAAAATAACGTTTATATTCTTATAGCATTGTATTGTTCAAACAAATTTGATGAGTTCACAACCATAATTTAATACTCTCGCAAATAGTAGCAGCACTGGAAAATAAGTTTAAATTAGGGATACAAAAATATTCAAAGGAAAACAATACCTTTACGACTATTGTTAATTTTATGCTGATGACAACCTAAACAATATGGAAATGAATGAGGGAAAACTGGATCCTACCACGTGATTTTCCAGCCAATAAAAATGAGCCGACCACAATGGAGAACTGCGACACCATCATTAGAATTTTATATATAGTAAGAAACTTTATGCAAACGATTATTTATGACGTCATTAGTTAAAAGTGTCATTAACGTAAAACTATCCAGTGTTTAATAATTTTGAGTGGCAACGAAAAGATAGTTAGTTGTTCTAAAGTTTTATAATAAAATGGTCGTTTTGATAGAACGCAGTTATTTATTTTAGAATTTCAAGATCTTTTAATAGCTTTGATAAATCGGGTAGATTTATTGGAGGCGCGAATCAGTGTGTGTCTAACGTCGTATTCTTGGCCATAGATGGCGAAACAGAATCAAGAAACGCAACCTCAGCCTTATAAATTCGTTTGGGTTTCAAGTAAGTAACTACAACAATTATGATTTTTAAATATATTAATTGAATTTAAAAAAATAAATAAACAGTGTGGATGTGCCTGCAATAATCACACGCAAAAAGTTAAAAAAATTTCCTGTCATTATTCTCTTCTACTTTCATACATTTAAA